ATCAAAATCTTCCAATACTTCCAAATCTTCCAATAGGTCTTCCAATTCCAATGAAAAGTTATTGGAAGCTTTCCAAGTACATCACTGATGTATAGTATGTGAATAAACTATATTATAAAGTACTATTCTCTTATTACATTTTTATCTAAAGATAGACTAAAGAAAGAACTAAATATCTGTATATGAGACACCATTCACAAGAGAAATTTGATTTTTTTCTTACTTTGAACATAAGAGTTCTATTCGTTTGTGATACAGTTCGATATAAAAAACCATTTACTTCAGAATAGATAATTAATATTACTATTATTGACTGGTATTTATAAAAAAATTTTCAGTCAGATCCGCTTGGCGAAATTATCCATTTTAGGAATAGATCTATCAGGAGTATTGATGTAAATTTACCTTATTTCAGAAGACATATTTGTTAAGTTCATCATTATATGAAGTAACTTTAGCCCTTTAAGTAAGCAAACTTTAGCTTATGTAAAAGTATATAGATCTATGGAAAAATTATTTTACCTAATATTTCGAAAAAAAGTCTAGCCTTATATTTGGCTGAAAAAAGGTTAAAATGATTGCAGAATAATATGGGTTCAGAAAAATGAAACCAAATATCTTCTGTGCATTTCAAGTGATTCACCATATGATGAAGTTTCTTATGCATAAGCCACCCATATTTTTCGAAAAAAAGAAATAACCTATACGATAATTCAATTTAAGCGAATGTGCAATTCACCCAATAATTCTCCTAGGCAATTACCAGAGAGATAATAGAACTCATCATTAGGGATCCTCTCCTTTCATATCTTCTGTCATGATAGTAATAATCTTTATCCTATTCACTATATTCATTATATCTACCATATCAATTATATCTATCATCATTATATGAGTCCAAATTGTCTGGCATCTCTTCTTCAGAATCACTAGAATCATTATCATCATCTGAGTTAACTTCATTTCTTCCTCATTAAAATACACATCACTGTAATCTTTATTTAAAACTAAGGGTTTCACTTGTATCTCCGATGCCTTAGTGATTGCTTCAGACTTTTCAGAGACCTTTTTAATCGATTCATTCATATCTGATGTGTCGCTAGAATTATCATCTGAATTGGGATCATTAGCTGAAGTATTAGCCATGGTCTCAAAGAATTCATTCACAAGATTCTGATGATCACTAGTGATCGTTTTCAATTTAACTTGATCTATAATGGGAATTAATGAGTTTTGATATTCTATCAGCACTATAAATAACCTGCTGAATTATATACCATCCTATACTCATATATAGTTTTGTTAGTATAATAGTAGCATGAACTGGAGATATAATATGTAAAAAATTAAATCAAAAAAAATTTTTATTTATCATCCAATCATGTGGAGTAAAATCACATTACAGAGCATAATAGACATTCGATTTTCTAGCAATATTATTAGTTGAAATTTGTGATAATTATTTTTGAAATATCACATAAATGATTAATTTTATTGGTTTGAAATTGATTGTCATAATATTTACCAAAAAAAAGATAGGCTAATTTTTTGGTTGTAATACTGTTTCAACCTTTATTTAAAATTATATTTTTTGGCTTTTTTTAATATTTTTAATAAAATTTATATAAAATTTTTTTACATATCAAAAATTATAGTTATCTTCAAATTAATGATCAGTTATGTTTTTTACATTATTTATCAAATGTAGAAGCAAATAGAAGAAGTAAAAATCAAAAAAAAATCAAAAGAATTTAATGATATATATAGAATTATCTAAATTTTTAAATTTAGATAATAATATTAAATTAAATTTTAATAATTGGTTTGATATAAAATAATTTTGATCTTTTAATAAATAAAATAAAAAAGATGCAAAAAGATATAAATGAATATGAAAAAAATATATTCTTCAAATGCTATAATTTCTCAAGCAAAAGTATTAAAATCACATGATCAACATTTTTTAATACTTTTAGAATATTTTTAAATTATCCTTATAAAGAATCTACTATAGATTATTTAAAATATAAAACAAGTATATTCTTAATTAATTACTTCATCAAATCTTTAAAAATTCGGAAAAAAGTAAGAAAATTAATAAGAATGAATATTATTTGGCAACATTAAATCAAAAAGTAAAATTAAGATGCTTACCTG